TCAAAAAACGGATAACAAGAAGGCCTAATAAAAAAAAACGGCCTGATTTTGGTTTTTGATAACAACTTCATTCAATTTTCCGTTTTTCCGAATCCCCAGGAACATGTTGAACCAGACAGTAAGACCACTTCATCCTGAACTCACTGTGCCTGTCTTCATGGACCTGTAGCATAACACCTCCCTGNTTTTGCAGCCTGAAACGCCAGGAAAGCTCCGCTCTGCTACCCACAATTCAGTTCGGCGAAAAGCGAGGCAACGTGACGTCACCCCATTCAAAGTGAATGCCATTCACTTTGAATGGGGTGACGTCACGTTGCCTCGCTTTTCGCCGAACTGAATTGTGGGTAGCAGAGCGGAGCTTTCCTGGCGTTTCAGGCTGCAAAAGTTGAGCAATGTTCAACTTTTGAAGCTTCTGAAACTTTCGGTATAGCCAATCAAACCGCTGCTTGTATGTCAGGGGCGGGAGATTCATGTGATTGGTTGTTGGTCGAGCTTCAGACACGCCCGCCGGCAAGCTTTTTTAGAAGGTGTAGTGTGGACGAGCCGTTAGACTTCCTGCAGAAGCCAGGCCAATAAGACAGGAACATCTATTCTGTTTGTGCCTCTTAATTTATGGGTTAAATGCCCTTAAGCAGATTTTAATTAAAGAAAAATACTGTCTGAATGGATTGGAAAATGGTATATAAATGTCCTAATCCTCCATTAATTGTTTTTTTTAAACACATTGTTTTGGAAAAGTTGTAATTATCTGTCTGAATTCACAGCTGTTTACTGAATATGTGTTTTTGTGTTCTCCTTCTGCAGAGCCAAGTCAAAAAATGGAGGTCGCTCTCTGAGAGAAAAGCTGGATAAGATTGGGCTCAACCTGCCTGCAGGAAGAAGGAAAGCAGCCAATGTCACTCTACTCACCTCACTAGTAGAAGGTATGACATGTCACTCAGTAGCACCTTCTCAGCTCTAATTACTGTTTGCTGCGGCTGGAATGTCGCTGTATCAGTGAGAGCGTCAGTCTCATTCACATAGTGTGTTGGTTTTTAGTACTGTAAAATATCTTCTTTCAGACTCTATTCATTGTTGAAATACTTAATAATTTGAATAAAATGTAAATATTGTAGTTCATCTTAAAGAACTTGTTTTTGTATTGCCTGGCTGCATGTAAGCCATCAAAATCCAGAGTTGTTTGAATTGTTGTCCTTCAGCTATTAACACTAATGGAACATCTGAATATCCTACAAACACCAATTCTCCAACCATTACCCTTTAATGATTTGGTATTACTCTGCACACATTATTATAAAGTATATATTATTTTCTTCCTTTAAAGTCTGCAGCGTCCAAGTCCCTAGATCTACAGTTATTTAATACCAGGGAGGTACTGGGTTATAATAATGACACAACCTGAGACCTTCACTTTCCCTTGTCAGTGTCTTGAATACTAAAAGATCAGTAATAGCTTACCCTGAATGTGATGTTTAAAAATGGAAACATTATCACTTGAGTCACATCTACCTGCCGTAGGCTGAGGTAGAATATTATTTCCTCCCTTGCACCCTACACGCCTAATTTTTATAAATGGGCTGATGATTATGTGCGGGAGAATGACTAGAGGCTTGTGTTATTTAGAGACCTTCAAAGCTGAATTAAGCCTTGTTATCTTGTGTTTGGCTCGCCAGGAGGGCCTGCTGACCTTAAAGATTGTGCTTCTGAATAGCTGCCCGCATCCTCAAGTAATGTGCGCGCCTATCAATAAGCGGTGCTGTTGGCGCCATGGGCACTATCTGCTAGCATTTATTCACATAAGCCCATTATGACCATGCAAGTCAAACCACCCTCAAGACGGAAATATATTCATCTCACTAGCTCTCCTTCCCTTAAGCAAGAAGACTGAGTACAGCTGATTATTCTGCAGTTCAACCGCTTCACTTCATGTGGCTTGATGCTTCTGTATCAGGTCAAAACGGGATATAATGCTCCAAATTGATAAACTGCTGAAGCCGGCCAGCTTACCATTTGATCTCTGCCCAATGTGTCAGAGGACATTCGGGGATAATGTGTAAAAATCATATTAATCTTTATTCTTTGGTTTTAGACCAAGTGTAACCTCCAGTGCTGTTTTTTATTGTCTTAGGTGAAGCAGTTCATTTAGCAAGAGACTTTGGCTACGTGTGTGAGACAGAGTTCCCTGCAAAGGCAATTGCTGAATACCTGGGCAGGCCGCACGTGGAACGCAACGAGGTTAACTCTCGCAAGAACATGCTGCTCGCTGCCAAGTAAGTGCCTCGACTGCATGGCTGCCTTTAATTTGTGCGCAAAGTAGGATTACCATGTAGAAGTGTTTTAAATTCTTATGTGGGTGTCTTAATATTGATTGAAGATTTGACAAGTTAAATATCCTACAGACTTCATTCTCAGATCACAATAAAGCAGTACATGTGTTAATATGAATCTTTCCCCCTTAACTTAAACATTGTGGTGTTCTTCTTTTAGGAATATCTGTAAGGAGTTCACTGACCTGCTAACTCAGGACCGATCGCCTCTGGGAAATTCCCGGCCCGCCCCCATCATGGAGCCTGGAATCCAAGGCTGCCTGACCCACTTCAGCCTCATCACTCACGGCTTTGGATCTCCCGCCATCTGCGCCGCCATGACCTCGCTTCAGAACTACCTGAACGAGGCGCTCAAACAAGTGGACAAGATGTACCTGAACTCTGGCAGCGACACCCAGGGATCCTCAGACAGTGGAAGCAAATCTGCCGACAAAATGGACAAGCACAGGAAATGAGAGCTCAAGGGAGAATCCTTATGAACTTGAGAACCCCTGAGTCCCTTAATCTTGCTGCCCTGTCTGCCCTTTTGGACTTCAAAATAAGAAATCAATATTGATTGATTGATTGATTGATTGATTGTGTGTGTGTGTGTGTGTGTGTGTGTGTGTGTGTGTGTGTGTGTGTGTGTGTGTGTGTGTGTGTGTGTGTGTGTGTGTGTGTGTGTGTGTGTGTGTGTGTGTGTGTGTGTGTGTGTGTGTGTGTGTGTGTGTGTGTGGGGGTTGAATTTAAATCCTATTTTTTCGAGATGTTGATAAGAACTTGTCACTGCTGGCTGCAAATCAGTTTTCGTTGGCACTGATGGTGAATGACCCTGTGAGGGCCTAAACACACTTTATCACACTAACCACTATGCAGTTGCCCATGTGCTGATGATACAACGGAAGTACCTGCTCTCAGTTGAAAAGAATGGAGAAAGAACAAAATGCATTCTGTTTTTTTCTTCCAAGAGGACATCATTTCAAGATGACTTGCTGTGGCTGTGAATTCCTCCCAGCCCCACCCCCATCCTGCTCTGTCTGGAGGCAAATCCACTGATTTCCTGTGTCTCAATGGACTTGCAAAGGACACTTTTTATATGAGAGAGAAAGAGAAGAAAATCCACTTAATTTTCTTTCTTTCTTTTGTTGTGCTTGATTTGCACAACCACTTCAAAATGGCTCCAGTGTTATTGTGCTTTGTTCATGAGAGATGATTTGAATCTTATGTAGGCCTGAATGAGAAAAGATGAGTTTTGGTTTGTCAGTCTGTGTTTGGTCAGAAACCAGAGACTTTACAGCCTCTTCAGTGTTCATGTGGATTACAGGCATAGCAGTGCCTCTATTCTAGAGGCTAGTGACCACGTAAGGTATTCATCATTATTAGTATTTAAAAACCCAGAGTTACCATCAACCTACCGACCCCTTCAGTCCTGCCAGAGTGTGTGTATGTTGTGTGAACGTGTGAAAATGTATATATTTCTTTTCTTCAAAAAATGTTTTGAATTAGACAATAAATTCCAAACACAGAATTTATCCAGTGTCTTGTCCTGGATGTAAATATTTTCTAATTTATGTTGTAATTTAATGGGCTTGTGTAAATAATGGTATCATTCTGGTGCATGGTTTCACTTTTTATGATGATGTGTTTAACTTTTATAAATGGGTTAGTTTTTTATCGACTAGCGGTTAGGAAGTGGGCATGATATACTTTTTGAAAATATGTAAAGAAAAACTGTTTTAAAGTTTCAGGAAAAAAATAAAAAGAAAGACTCAATCCTGATGCAGTGAGTCAGTGATGTTGCCTAGGCCGCACACAAACACACATTTTTGTGTGCACTGTTGTTCTGTTGCCCCATTTTCAGCAGTATTTCAGAGATGATGGGGTAAGTCATGAGTTGGAAGAGTTTCCTATTAATAAACAGCAACGAAAAGCCCCAAACTAATGGGAACAGTAGACATCATTATCTGCTCTCACTTAGCTTACAAATCAGCTGTGTGGTTCAGTGAAGGCAGAGACTTCAAAAGTACATCATGTGATGAACAAAGATGCACAGCTGAGAGGAGACAAATAGCTTAGTTGTGTTTAAACATAGAAAACGATTGAGGCAAGGGCCTATCACTAATGTCTTCCTAAGCTTGCTTGTGTCCTGTCAGTCTCCTTTTTTCCTCTTTCTTTTTCCTATTTCCTGTTTTCGGAGCAGGTGTGCAACCACCTGAAGTGTCAATCTGTTTTAGGTTTCAAGATGTATTTCATCTTTTTAAATGCAGTGATGCAAGACTCGCAACAAAGTCCTTGTATGAGAAAAAGAAATGGTGCAAAACTGCAGATGGGGTTTACATGTGGCGCAAGTTTGCTTACTCATCACTTGCCTAGCCAGTGTGCTGATTCATGTCGTCTGTGTGTTCATGCGCTTCATGAGCTTGTGTCTGAGCCACAGTAACACCAAACCAGCACTCACTGATTGGGAAAAATCGATTTATAGTAGTAGTATCAATTTCTAATCCACTGCAATGGCCCTGCCATTCATCCACGTCCTAGCACATATCCTGCTTTGAAGGTCAGCAGGTGAAAGCATTGTTTCACAAAGGCCATGCATGCAGCAGCAGTGTGCAATACCTAGCAGTTAAACAAGTATCAGCCTCTCCCCTCAGAACCTGTTTAACCAGACCTGTCATCCTGGTGGCTCGCAGCCCTCGCAGCAGTTGACTTTAACTGCCTTCAGTTACTTGTGGTAGCTTGGCCCTGAGAGAGAAGATAATAGGAGAAGGTGATAGAAAAAGGAGAGGGAGGTATTGGTGGTGGAGGGTGAAAGAGGCGGTGGATTTTGTCTTTGATGACTGGTTGAACGTGGTTGAGACAACAACCTTGCTGTGTCTGAGGCTTTGATTGGAAGTTATTTGCTCTGTCCCTTTTCTCACGACTGCCTTTCATGTTGTCGCCCTGTCAGTCACATCGCAGGCTGTGGTTTAGCAGCCGTCAGCTATTAAACACACTTCCGTTCAATTCACTTTCCTCACCTTTGAAACAGAGGAGAACCCTCTGAGCAAGGGAGCTGAGTATACAGGCCTATATAAATAGGATAGTTAAAAATGAGGTGGAAAAACATTACTACCTGTGACATTTAGACTTTTTCCTACCAGACAGTTATCGTGTTTTTACATGTCCACAATGCACCTGTTTAATGTGTCATTCCTTATGTGTTTTCCAAAACACAGTATGGTAACTGGTCAAACATTTTACCTCTAAACTGTGAGACAGTGTGAGTAATTTACCTCTGACACACCTAATAAAGCTGGGAAAAGGAGGCGAGCGTAGACTTGTTGAGCTAACCCGTTACCTTCGCCTCTTTTTCTTTAATGAAAAAAAGAAGAAACTCATATGCTTCTTTCATTTTCAGAGATTATATCTGACATGCTAATATACTCTTCTGATATTATTAGGATGCCCAGGGCTACTTGTCAGCTTAAGATTCACTGAACTGTAGTTGTATGTCATGCCAGCTCTGACTAAATGACCTTTCTATGTAGGTCACGTCGAGTCACATGATAAAGTTTCAGGAAAGAAGAAAAAGGCGGCAAACCCTAAACCCTAAACACTTGGTGTAAACCCTAATTTTAATCATACTGTTTACTTTAAATCATAATTTAAACCTAGATCAGAAATACTTTATTAAGCCCATACTGGGATTTGTTTTGTTACAGCAGCATGTTTACAAGGCATTGCACAAGAGTCACTTATTACAAAAAAACGATAAAAACATTGGAGACTATATACTCACATTATACAAGTTGGAAAGCTAATAATAAACAAAAGGAATCTAGATGGAGGGACATCGAGACAGATACATACTGTATATCAGTTTCTCATAACAGTCTGAACAAAAACTGACTTCTATTTACCCGCTGACTTTTTGCCCAACATGTTCCCAGATACTTAGCACTTTCCTTTCACCCCTTACATTTAGTCAAACCACTTCCCTTCAACAGCCCCCTTTAAAATCTGTTGTACATTAAGGCTCATTTGCAGTCAGACTAATCGCTTGGTTGCAGGTCCCAACCACTGAAACCACTTTATGAGTTAAACCATAGTCTTAACATCCCATGTCACAGACGACAAGTCATACAGACGACAGTTGATTCTCATGTGTAAATCAGGAGGCGAGGTCATTCTCTGCTCAGTAAACACAGGAAGCAGATGATCATTTCATTTCAAAATATGTGTCTCTCATTTGAAATTTGAAGTAAAAGATTACACAAGTTGAATTTCCAGCTATTATGAAATAAGCCATTTTGATAGCTTTTACAAATTAGATCAAGTGATGGAAAGATATGATTCCAACTACATTGGTGGAAACCATCTTCTGCAGAAAGAAGGGAGAAAAACTTACTTCACATCCCTGAATAAGTGCTTTAACTCTACTTACTACTTATGTTTAGTTGCAATGGAAATCACAATAACTCTTCCAGTCCTGTCAAATACATGAATGATATTCCTGTTCTGAATGTCTTTGCTTCACTTTCCTGGATTTATACGGGTTGTGGTGTTTACTTGTTGTTTTGAGGAACATTTGAGTTGTGTCTGCTCCCAGTGTGACTCGCTCCTGTGTGGCATTAAACACACCTGGACCTGAAGTGAGTGAACTGTGCTGGTATTTGCCCGCTGTGCTGTGTTCTTCAGCAGTCAGAGAACATGGCGAGTGAGATTTTTGTCTTGAGGATAAATCCAGATTTACCGCTTACAATAAACATGTGTGTTGTAGCATCTTGACAAACATTTTAATGCTCTTTAAAGCGGTCACCACTTTAATGATATTAAATTAATCATTTAGTAAGAGAAACACTTTTTTAAGCTACGGGTAAAGAGATGGAAAACACACTCTGATTGATCCATAAAAGGCTACTTTTATACTGCCTTTCAAAGTGGCTTATTACAGTACTTAATCATACATCTGCTGACAGTATTAAGAAAGTAAAATAATAGTTGAATTTAAAAAAGACTTAACGTTTTATTCGATCAATCAGCAAAATGATTTAATGCAATTAAAAGATCAACACTCATCAGAGGTATTTCTGAGTGTGTTTATGTGTGTGTGGAGGTCAGGCATAGGGTGGGGCGGAGCAGTGTGGGGGAACGTAGTCCAATAATGAGAGCATTAAGCAACTATGTTAGGGGGTGAGATGGGTATGCGTGAGAGTGTGTGTGTGTGTGTGTGTGTGTGTGTGTGTGTGTGTGTGTGTGTGTGTGTGTGTGTGTGTGTGTGTGTGTGTTTGTGAGTGAAGGGGTGGGGGGGCTGGGTGGGTTGTAGCCTAATCCCTGAGGAAAATGTGGAAGAAATTAATCTAAATTACAAGGATGAGGCTAGTCTAGAGTCTGGGTCTGGAAGGGCTACAGAGGAAAGGAGGGTGAAAGAGATGTGGGGAAGAAGGGAAGTAGCCATTACTCGTGTCCTTTTCTGTATTCTGGTCACCGTTTTCTTTTTTCTCCTCTTCTTTTTTCCTTATCCTGTGGGAATGAGGTGGCCTGTCTTCCTTCCTCTTTGGCTTGCCACCCAGACACCCCTCCTTCGCTAACTCACGCATAGGCCTCTTACCAATTAGTTAGCAGTGTAGCTGCTGCCAGCGTGGACAGGACTGTAGGGACCTCT